CCCCAAAACCCCAAAACCCCAAAACCCCAAAACCCCAAAACCCCAAAACCCCATTTGGCAGTTTAGAAGTTGATAATAATTTTATTTTAACAGAATTAAATGAAAGAAGTAGGCGACAGATGGAAAGCGACTAGTGGGAGGTACAATCATATTACTAGGATTAAGAGCCAGAAGTTAGGAGGAGAGTATATTACTTCTGATGGTTACTTTGATAGTAAGGAACAGAGCAGGAATTTGTATGGTGAGAATGCTGCTTTGTTGAGAGGAAAGAAGGGTCTACATAGGATGAAATCTGTAAATGGTGATGGTCAAGATTGTGAGATGGTAAGTGATTCTTTGGATCAGATGGATGATTTCTCTCAATTTTCTGTAAATATACCACAAGGTGAAACTAAAGAGAATGATTTGTTTAACAAATCTAAGAGTAATAGCGATAATATGAAGAGTGAAAGTTGTTTAACTAACTTAAAAACGTATGAAAAGTTAGATTATCGCAATCAAGGACTCTCAAGGCTACCATCACATGAATTGAGTAGTAAGCTACGATCGATTAAGATATCGTTTAATTCTCTTAAGAGGTTCCCTGAGAAATTATGTGATTTAATTTTCTTGAGATCTCTGTATATTGATAATAATCAGATTGAAAATCTGCCTGCAGCAATTGGAAAACTTACCAATTTAAAGGTGCTTGATGTGCATAGTAACTGCATTGGGGAGATCCCTAAAGAGATAGGGCAATGTGCTAGCCTAAAGAGGGTTAGTATTAAGAATAATAAATTTACCTCTATTCCTTCATCCATGGGAAAGCTTGCGAACCTAGCAGTTCTTGACATAGAGTGGTTCAAATATTGAATCCCACCGATCAGAATTGCAGAAAAATAATGGGAAAATTAGACAAGAATCAATGAAACCATGAATTGAGAAATTTAAAGAACTGTGTAATATGTTCGAAGGATGCGGAAATCCCACACTGAGCGCCTTCTTGATCTATTTCAGTCAAGACTCTGATCTAAAATCTGGAAAAGAGCCAGACTACAACCGAAGAGATAATCGTAAAAGGACAATTTTGCATCGGGCAGCTACTGCGGGGCATATTGGTGTTATCAGAGGACTTCTTAATATTGAAAATATTGATCCAAATAAGCTTGAGAAAGATCAGTGCACTCCTCTAGGCCTTGCTCTTAGAGACGATCATGAAGAAATAGCTAACATATTGATTGAAAAAGAGAAGGTTGATGTAAATCTCGGGGGAGGTTCTTTTGGTGCACCAATCCATATAGCAGTATCTCGAAATAAAGTAAAGACTTTACTCAAGCTTGTCAAGAGAAATGTAGATATAAACAAAGTTGACTTTAAGCTTCAGACTCCTTTACATATAATTATGGATGTTTTTACCAGAAATACCAGGCTTGCTGAGGAGATTACCAGAGTCTTGGTCTTTAATGGAGCCAAACCAAATCAGATGGACTCTGACCAACTAACTCCCTTACATCATGCAGTAACAAAGAAGCACCAGGAAGGAGTTGAACTTATCTGTAAACTCAACAAGGTTCTACAAGCAAGGAATAAAGAAACGTTTGATTTTGATCTTGCTGGAGGAGACAAGGGCTTTACTCCTATCTATTATGCTCTTGAGAGAAGGGCTATTCCAATAGCAGAACTCCTCTTTGTAAACGGGGCCAGAGTCTGTCTCAGATTCCACAACAAGTATGAGCCCAAGGAATGGAAAAAGACCGAAACCAGCGTCAGAAGGCATATTCTCTGGAAAATGGAGAAATTTGAGCTTGATTTACGTTGAAATCGGATAAAAATGACTCCAAAGAAGATGAATGACCCTCAAATGGTCAAGTCTATCGAAGGTGAAACTGAAAACTGATTCACTTGCTACACAAACGTTGGGGACTATTTAACAAAATACAGTGAAGTTTATCGCGATAATTACATCAACCGCCGGCGACACTTTATTAAGAAAAATGGTGTTAAATCTCAACAGAAAAAGCTCTTCACGTACTGCAGCCCAAGTATGAAGAAAGGTGATGTTGAAATTGAAGATATCTGTTCTGAATCAGATATTGATAAGGAAGAGAGCAGAACGAGCATATGCTCAGAAAGGAATAATGATACTCCACTAGTGAACAGAATGAACACGTGTTCACAAATGAACATGGAAGCATTAGCTGTACCTGAGAGTTTATCTGTGAATAATGATAACCACTTTAAAGGTCTCAACATCTTTTTATTAAGAGACCAGATTCTGTCAACAACAATCGAATGTCCAAATATTGCGTTTGAAGCAATCCAGAATTTATTTTTAACTGATTTTGATAGAACTTTGAAAGTAAATTTTAAAGCTGTTCTTAAAGACCTTGCCAAAGGACTTGACATGATAAAGTTCCAAAGAGTAGTTATCCGAACTATTGATTTACTCCAGATAAAAGGAGATGAAGAGATAGCAGGGATTTTGGAATCATATCTACATAAAGCAGATGAGAAAAGAGAGGTCATTGAAGTGTTTTGGGAGTATGAAGATAGAAGTCTTCTATTGAATCCTTATACTCAAAGATGACTCCGATCTTGAATCAAAAATATTAAGAATAATTGAGAGAGCTTGAGAAAGGATGAGAGAGTTCCATATAAAAATAGGTTTGCCCAAAGGAAAGACTCGAGGAAAGTAAGTGTTGAATTTATTTTTTGCTTCAAAAATTGGATTGTTTCTAATATCATTAGACTCATACAAGATCTGCAAACAGGGCCATAAAAATACCAACAATGAATTCTAAGCTCCCTTCCATCTCACTTGCTATTAATAGCACTAAGAAGATACGCCGCAAAGGAACCGATCTAACCACATGGTAAGTGTGCCCTCTTTTTAACACTTCACAGAAAACCGACGCCTAACGGAAATTTATTCGCTTCTAATATTCATAAATCATCAGTTTTACCTACAACGGATTGGAACAGCAACAACTCCTCCGAAACCCCAAGCACCAAATAAAATCCCCAAAAACGACTACAACAAATACCTCCCCCCAAAACTCAGCTACGCCTCCAAAAAGAAGCAATCCCTCCATAACAAGCCTCTTTGCCCTAAAACTATAAGGACTGTTCCTAGAAGTAACTATATTCATTAGTTCAAGGTTGTTCACTAAGTCAGGGGTTTTGGGGTTTTGGGGTTTTGGGGTTTTGGGG